GCCCCCCCCCCCCTCCTCCCTAGAAAAAGGAATTAGAGAATAGTTATTGGGTTGAAATGCATGTTCATAGCCCAATTTTTTTTTGTTTTAAACAAGTATCCAAATGTTTCTACATTTATTTTTCAAGGGCATTTCAAAAATATAGTTTTTAGATGTGTAGCTTCAGTCACAAAAAGTTATGGGCTGTTTTAGACTTTTTACCGCCCTGTACTTTACCCTAGATATGCATTTAAAAAAAATCCTTTAAATTTCTTTTTATTAAAAGTCACAAAATTTCACGGTGATAGTGTCAAAACTGAGAGTGCTAGAACAAAACCAACTTATAGGGGGGGGGGGGGCATTAAACGACCCCCCACCAACCAGGCTGTTTATGGCTAAAACCCCCCAGTTGAAACCATGAAATTTGGCCTGTTTACTTTTTATCTTTGTTTTTAGATTTAAAAGATTTAAGTTTTTTATCATATTTCTAGATGTTGCCGAGCTAAACCTGACTATCCAGCAGAAAATAAAGAAATCTAAGGGGAAGCTCCTGATTATTATAAACAGGTTGGTTTTATTTCATCTTGTAGTTGAAGTCTAAAGGAACAAAGTAAGTGCCACAAACTCAATTTTCTACTGCCTGTATCTTGACAACCTGATGGTATAAACGTTTGATATATATTTCAAACTTTGACTATTTGATATAACAAAATTCATAGCTTAAATTATAAATGGTTTTAGACACCAGGTTGCAATTAGATATAGGGATTACAAATTAAAGTTTGTGGTAAAACTAATTTCTTTTGTATGGAAAATGCGCTAAATGACGACGTTTAAAATAATTATTTGTAAGCACTCTGTTTTTTTTTCACAGAGTTAACATGTTTTGGGGATGTTTATAGGATTTCATACCATTTTATTTTAACCTTTAAAGGGACTGTAAACTTAATTTCAAATGACCCTCCATGCAAAGATTACAAATTGGCAATGTCTATTTTATAACGGTACCCATGAAACCTCAATCTGATCAAAAATGTGGAAGATATCGCTATTTTCCAAACTCAAAAAGTGTTTAATTCTAATATTCTTCTTATACGTCAAAAATGTGTAAGTCAACAGAAAACCAACAGTTTAAAGAAACATAAACATGAATCAATAATAAAAACTTGATCAGACAAACCTTTTAATGATACCATTGCAAATTGAACATTGACATCTGTTGATGAAGGTAACATTAAATTACGCTTACAGTTCCCTTAACTCTTCTTTATTTCTGAAGGTTGGATAAAACTTTGCTTGTAATTGTTAGAAAATGTTGATAAAGAAACAAATAGTGTTCAAAAAGATGTTCTCAGGAACTCTGAAACATGAAAGATGCAAAAATGTTCAAGTTTTCGTTTTAAAATATTTAAAATAAACTTAGTTCTGAACTTGAAAAGTTCCTAGTCTGCAAACAGTTTCCACTTTTCTTAGTTTCTAACTTTAACTTTATACTGCAGATATAAGAACTTAGACTTTAACTTTATGCTGCAGATATAAGAACTTAGACTTTAACTTTATACTGCAGATATAAGAACTTAGACTTTAACTTTATGCTGCAGATATAAGAACTTAGACTTTAACTTTATACTGCAGATATAAGAACTTAGACTTTAACTTTATACTGCAGATATAAGAACTTAGACTTTAACTTTATACTGCAGATATAAGAACTTAGACTTTAACTTTATGCTGCAGATATAAGAACTTAGACTTTAACTTTATACTGCAGATGTAAGAACTTAGACTTTAACTTTATACTGCAGATATAAGAACTTAGACTTTAACTTTATACTGCAGATATAAGAACTTAGACTTTAACTTTATACTGCAGATGTAAGAACTTAAACTTTAAGACAAGATAAGGGATGATGTATAGTCAAGGAGCGCCATAACTATTTCCTGAAAAACTTCTGAAAAACAAACTCCTGAAAAACAAGCTCCTGAAAAACAAGCTCCTGAAAAAAAAACGATTTAAAGACAAACTCCTGACTATCTTGATTTATTGATTAGGATGGATATATTGGGATGTATTGAATGGATTGATTTATTGATTAGGATGGATATATTGGGATGTATTGGATGTATTGGGATATATTGACTGGATTGATTTATTGATTAGGATGGATGTTTGAGATGTATTGACCTGATATGCATAAAAAGGGATGAAAGGACAGCTCACCGAAGCAAATTTGGGAATAAACAAACAAAGTCCCACAAGCCGCAGGATAAACGTTGATTTATTGATTAGGATGGATATATTGGGATGTATTGACTGGAATGATATTGATTAGGATGGATATATTGGGATGTATTGACTGGATTCCTGAGATGCTACCACCTGGATTAATAATATTAACCAGGGAAACAATATTAACTCATTTTTTTTACATTCAACAATTTTTATTTAAGACAGGTTAAAGACAGGATTTTCAGCCACTCTTTCAATTACTTAATTAAGGAATTGAGTTTTTGCCACTAACTCACATTTTCTAATCCTTATATCTTCACAATCTGATGGTGTAAACTTTTGATACTTCAGACTTAGACTAATTGATCCAACAAAATTCATAGTTTGAAATATCAAAAGTCTTCGACATCGGGTTCCAAACATCTGGGATTAGAAAATCTGAGTTTGTGGCAAAAACTCAGTTCCTTTCTAACAAAGTTAGATCTCTTAGTGCCACATTGATACTTGATTTTATTATTTTTTAGAACTTTAGTGAAAATTCCAATATTACATCGTTAAAATGTAAATATATTTATTTTTTTTATGAAAAACATGCACACAATGGTATACTACAGGGTGTTTTAAAAATTGCTTTTTAGAGCACTATACAGGTCGGGTTATAACTTTTTGGACATTTTCATAATCTTTGTTATTGATCACTGGACACCAATTAGAGGTTTAGAGCACACAAAATCAATAACAGTTAATTTTGTAATTTTCCATTTTGGCCCTGTTGAACAGTGATATCGAGATATATGTAAGTGAAAATCTATCTTTGGGTTTATATTTATATTTTTTACAACAGCAGATACCAAGTATAAAAAAGGGATTCAAACTATTGGTATATAGCATAATTTCAGGTTAGTTTTTCTTGTAATTTAAATTTTTTTTTCTTATGTTATCCAAACACAAATATGAATTTTTAAATTCAACCAACTCAAAGTGACCAAACCAACTTCATTCATGGCATATCTCCCTCTGTTTTTGTGCTACAGACCTCTTTTTTGTGCTACAGACCTCTTTTTTTGTGATAAAGGCCTCTTTTTTGTGTCCAACAATCCTAGATTTTAAAAAATGTCCAAAAATTAAAAAATCCAACAATGATAAGATCTGTATCTTGTAGTACACTGTACAATTGAGATTACAGCTCAGGAAATCCAGAAGGAATACTGTTCTTGCTACAAAATCTGAGCTTCTAATCCCTATATCTTTGCAACCCAATGTCACAAACCTTAGATATTTCAAACTATGATTTCTAATATATTTAGTAGTCTAAATTTGAAATATCAAAAATTTACACCCTCAGATTGCAAAGATATAGGGTTTAGATAATTTGAGTTTGTGGCAAAGACTTGGCCATACCTTTATGACTAGAATATGTTGGCATGGATAATATAAAAAAACCCTCTCTCTGATTAGTAGCGTTAAAAAAGCACGGGAGGGNCAAGCCGTATGTTGCATCTTTGTGAATTTTTATGTACACTACGTTCTTAGGACAATTCTTAAGATTTAGCAGAACAATATTGTTAATATTGTGAATCAGTTGTTCCCCGGAAAATAAGAAATGTCTGCAACAGTTTTCAAGTCTGCAAGATGTTAAACTAGGACAGATGGGTGAGTACTTACAAAACTTAAAATTTTGCCGGTTTTTTTGTAAAATTGAAAGATTTAAATTTTTTTTTGAAATCGACATTTGTTCCAGGTATTTTTTCTATTTAACAATCCATAAACCTTCCCAAGGGTCGTGTGAGTTGCCACAAAATTTCTTTTTACGTTCATTAAGGATATAAACATGTCGACAAATGAGCCAAATTTATATTAAGATTGACATTTTTAAGCTTATTATACATATAATACTGGTATGTTAGAACTCTGATTCACGTCAAACTAAAGTAAATTGGACAAAATATTAAGATATTTTATATTTTCAATGATAACTCCTTCAATGAAAGAGCTATTAAGATACACAAAAATGTTATGTTACATAATGTCCAAAAACGTCAATATTGGTTTTAAATTTAAAGAGTGTGGAGACGAGCAGAAAATCTGAAAATATGTTTTTGATTTCCTTGCTGCAACTTTTGTTTGGCTATATTAAAATAGCCGGGTAAATTTGCTTTTTTCATATATATATAAAAAATCAAAGAATTAGCGTATTCCATTTGAATACTTATTTTTATTTTTTTTGTTTTCTAGATTTGAAAGATAGAAAAGACTATGTAAGATCGAGGCTGGGAGTTCTTGGGAAAACCTTAAATGAGGATTCATATGAAAACCAGGTATTATAAAGGGATGGCCATTTTTTTAGGGAATTCAAGAAAATTTCTTTTTACACTATATAGTGCATTTCAAGTTCCAGGCCGAATTTTAACTAGCCAGAGCAGGCTGTACAGTACGAAGCAAAACTATGTAAGGCAGAACTGTATACGCCAAATTAACGATCCCCTGCTATAGTGAAATTAATGTGATTTAATCGTTAAATCATATATGTGTTGATTTTTAGTATTTCTAACGAAAGTTCGCGAAAAGGTTTGCTAAATAAGAAAACAATATTTTGCAAAAGTTTTCGTTCGCTGGCAAACCTATAATTGTTGATATGGAATGTTGATTAAATAATACCGAGATTAGATACAATTTTCCGTATCTAATCTCGGTATAAAGACCTCTTTTTATTAGCTATCAATCTCATACTAGCTTCAACAGATTTTTTTGCCCTATCCCTCAAATTATTCATTACGTATCAGCAAAAAGGTAAACTTAAGAATTTTTGGGAAAAATCATTTCAATAGAACGCTTTTATAATGGTTATAGATAAAAGGTTTAAGGGTACACTTGTTAATCGGTCATCGCCATGGTCACGTCAAATTTCGTTTACAATCCCTTTAATAGGGTCTAATAAATAAATACATATCAATATTTTGCAGATAGATGATCTAGTGTCCAGGAGGGAGGGTGGTAGCCCAGCCTGGTTAAATGCAGCGATCAATAGGCTGGTCAAATTCTCCTCATACAACACCATTTCACAGGTATGTGAGGGAGGGAGGGGTTTATAACCCTTTACACTGGCGAGGGAGGGATGGCTTTGTAACAATTTACATTGGCGAGGGAGGGATGGCTTAGTAACACTTTAAACTGGCGAGGGGTGGATGGCTTAATAATAATTTGCACCGGCGAGTGGTGCATGGCTGTATAACACTTTACACTTGCGAGGGAGGGATGGTATCGTAATACTTTTACACTGGTACAAAAAATGATGCCTGTCTTTAAGTTTTAAATTTTATTTACAGAATCTATTGATTTTTTAAGAGTTCAATAAAACTTACCAGCTTGCTTGAATAGTTCAATAAAACTTACCAGCTTGCTTGAATAGTTCAAAAGATTGAAAACAAGTGAAAGAATTTTATTTCGAATTATTAGAAATAGTTTAAAGTTCTTTCACAGAATAAAATTGAATAGGGGTTTTTCTCTTTTTTAACAATTGATTGTTATGTTTTCTATAAAAGAATCAAAGGTTTCATTGTTCAAACTTTTTTACACAGTATGATGAACACCATGCGTTTCATAAACTAATAATTCTATACAATTAAGTCTTTGAAGCAAAACAAACAAACAAAAATTTCAAATGTATAAGATAAAACATGCTTAAACCAAAAAGCAAAATATCGTTGTTCAGGATATCAGAGGTTTGGGAAACAGCATGAAAGAATTATATCTACAACAACTGTCAACAGCTGTTGACAGCTGTGGTGAGGAAGCTGTATCGACAGCTGTCAGGTAAAGAATTAGAATAGTTTCCTAAAAGCTTTCAAAAATATTTTGTATTAGAAATATAAAAATCTCTATTTTTGCAGGATCATCTACCTTTCTAAATATGGGATACATCTCAGGTATGCATATGTTTAAGCCAAAGGCGTACACGGGGGGGGCTGTGGGGGCTTAGCCCCCCTGCATCAGTAAAATCTATGTGTTCCAATGGGTTTTCAGGCCCCAACAGGTACTGAGCCCCCCCCCCTCTCCTGTAAAGAAAAGTTAAGCTCACCCCTGAACCCAACCTTACTTTCTGTTATAGCATATTATGCAATATACGCACATTGCAACTTCTACGTACATCATACATGCTATATACTTGCTATGTGAAACATTAGAATTTTATAAAAATAAACTGCAAAGAAAAGGAAATACTCATCCGAAAGAAACTGATTACTTGCCACAAATTTTACTTTTAGAATCTTTTTATCTTTTCAACATGAAGGTAAACTTCGATATAACAGATTATTAATTCCTGCCACATGAAAAATCAAAGGTTCATACCCTCAGGTTTAAAGATATAAGAATTAGAAATTTAGAGTCAGATCCAATATTGAACCATTCTTTAAACCTAACACTTTGATTTTTTATTTTATTTTGACATATTTATACATTTTATGTGTTCAGTGATCTACAGGCGTTGATGTCATTTCTCCTGTATGGAGAGCTGAGCAAACTCTCAAGTATTGAGAATACACTCATTCAGTTTAAACAGTTCAGAGCAAAGTCCGGTATGTTTTCATTTTTTAAACGATAGTTTCGTTTTGAAAACGACGACGAAAAACGAAAAACGAAACGATCGTTTTTTAAAGCGATTTTTTTAAATAAAAGTTCGTATTTTAAAAGCGATCGTCTTTAAAAATGATCGCTTTCATAAAGCTTGTCGTTTAGTTAACGATCGTTAACGACAACCCTTCGTTACCGATTGTTAATGACAACTCTTTGTTAAAGATCGTTAACATATTAATCAATGACACTTTTTTTCAAAAACGAACGTTTAAAAAAAATTGTTAAAAACGACTAATACCGAAGAACGTAGTGTCCATTCAAATTCAGAATTGTAATATCTGAATGATTTGTTTAAATTAAATAGATTTTTTACGGTCCAAGCCGTATGTTGCATCTTTGTGAATTTTTATGTACACTACGTTCTTAGGCATTAGTCATTTTTAACAATTTTCTCCTTATAGACGCAACAGATAGAAGTAAGATTAGTAGCGATCAAAAGCGCTTTTTAATCGCATTAAGCCTATACCCCTTTTCATTTTTCGCGAACACTCCCTTTAAACCAACTTTATATGGTCCAATAAAGGATTCCCCAGTAAGTCCATAAGTCCATCCATATACCCTTCACATCCGAAAAAGATGCAAAATAATTTTAATTTCCATAAATTTACAGGTTACCCTGAGAAATCTGGCATGACTTTCTTTTGCTCTTTGATTTAATTTTTCCATAGTTCGGAAATTGGATTGGAGAGCGTTTTCTGGCGTACCCTGTATAGTGTATACCTATATTATACAATTGCATCAAAAGATGAATATTAAAATCTATATCGCCGCCCTTGTATACGAGTATAGATAAGAATATTTTTCGCTTAATCATCCAATTATCAATTTCTACCAAAAAATACCACGTCTTAGAAACTACTAACTGTGTTTACAAGATATGTAGAATCAGCTAGGGGGCTGATTAGAACCCTATCAACACTTCAATAGAATCCTTGTATTCATTAAAAATAATTAAATAAAAAATAGAACTTGTGACGCATTCGAGGAGAATATAAACTTTAATTAATATATGCTGATGCAGGGTAAATACATTTACACAACTAGTATGCGAAGAAAACGATACATAAAAAGACATTTTAAATAGTTTTATCAGATCGCTTCACGGACAAGGGTGCTAGAGTGTCGGTAAACCCGTCGGTCGCAGGGTGCAATTTAAACGGTATAGACTTTTCATCCTTAGAATACTCAAGCCAGTTATGCCTAGGAAAATAACTAGTTCTCTTAGGTCAGGGCGCTCCGCACCCTATTTCTCGTAAATGTTTTAGCTTTTAATATTATTAAACATAATGATAAAGATATATTCATTTTTTGCAGGCCTTTTTTTTGACTAAACGATTTTGTCTTTTATTCCTGAATATCCAGTATTCATACAGATGAAGAAATATACAGGGTTACTCACAAAATATGAAACTGTAAAGACGAATTGAAACTCTTCAACAATGACGATCCCATGTTTAAATTAAGTCTGTTGCATTAAATGTTTTTTTTTTATTGGCTTTTTAATGATGATTAGCATCGATCAAGAAAGACGTTTATAGTTATGGGAGTCATGAATGTAAAAAAACAGTATGAATTACGTACAGTCGTCTCTGAAGTCTAATTCTTTGTAGATAACACAGTGTATGGTTAAAAATGTTATTTCTTAAATTGACTCATTTTGATGAAATCTGTCGCAATGTAAAATAATTCCCGAAAGAAAAATGATTTTCCATCGCAAGTGATGACATAACTGTAATGCCGCGTTCTCAACTATACTATTGAAAGGTAAATATTTAAAAGAACCTGTTTAGAATACATTTTCCCTACCCTGGACCTTTGTACACTGCTAAATCAACTGGATGGGGTCATCGTGTACATCTCAGGAGTTTACACTCATCCAGCAGGAATATATTCATTGGTCATTTTGATTAGCATTTTTTTAATCATCGTCGCCATTTTCATTGAAAAGGGGATTCCCTTGAAATATTTTAGATGATCTCCTTGTTTTTCTTTCGTGCATCAAGTTCTAATCAATTCCATTTTTATTTTATTTTATCTTTGATATTAAATTGATTATTTTCCAAAACTTGGACTGTTTAAGCCAGCTTCCATCTCGAATTTTGATTCTGAGTTGATAGAAAAAATAATATTTTATATATGAAAGTAGTTTACTGCTCTGAATACACTTCATTAGTTTCTATACTATCTGAGATAAATAAATAAAATATTAGGAATGGTGAGGAAACTTCTCTGGGAAAAGTTTATCAGGTAAAACTATATTGCTAACATCTAAAATGTGCAAATGAGTAATAAAAATGTACTAAATGTAAATAATTACAGAAAAAGCGTTTGACCAGTTTAGGCATTTTTTACGTTGTCTTGTAGATTGCAGCTTGATAATGTCGAAACTCTTCAGATAATTTGACATACTTCCTTGCTGTTTCTATATTTATATATTAAACAGGAGCACTGATCCAAGGAGTATTAAAGTACTCCAATGCTCCCTTGCTGCTCTCTATAATCATATACTAAACAGGAACACTGATCGAAGGAGTATTAAAGTACTCCTATACTGCCTTGCTGTTTCTATAAATATATATATATAAATATATAAAAAGGAAAACTGATCCAAGAAGTATTAAAGTACTCCTATGCTCCCTTGCTGCGCTCTATAATCATATACTAAACAGGAGCACTGATCCAAGGAGTATTAAAGTACTCCTATACTCCTGTTGACTTTAAAAGTCACTATAGTAAAATAAAGAGATCTAAAATGGATATTTCTAACATTTATTTAAAAAACGAAAGTTTTGAAATATTTGCAAAGTATTAAAGTACTCCTATACTCCCTTGCTGTTTCTATAATTATATATTAAACAGGAGCACTGATCCAAGGAGTATTAAAGTACTCCTATACTCCTTTGCTGCTTCTATATTTATATATTAAACAGGAGTACTGATCCAAGGAGTATTAAAGTACTCCAATGCTCCCTTGCTGCGCTCTATAATCATATACTAAACAGGAACACTGATTCAAGGAGTATTAAAGTACTCCTATACTCCCTTGCTGCTTCTATAATTATATATTAAACAGGAGCACTGATTCTGATCCAAGAAGTATTAAAGTACTCCTATACTCCCTTGCTGCTTCTATATTTATATATTAAACAGGAGTACTGATCCAAGGAGTATTAAAGTACTCCTTTACTCCCTTGCTGCTCTCTATAATCATATACTAAACAGGAGTACTCATCCAAGTAGTATTAAAGTACTCCTATACTCCCTTGCTGCTTCTATGTTTATATATTAAACAGGAGTACTGATCCAAGGAGTATTAAAGTACTCCTATACTCCCTTGCTGCCTCTATAATTATATATTTAACAGGAGCACTGATCCAAGGAGTATTAAAGTACTCCTATACTCCCTTGCTGCTTCTATAATTATATATTAAACAGGAGCACTGATCCAAGAAGTATTAAAGTACTCCTATACTCCCTTGCTGCTTCTATAATTTTATATTAAACAGGAGCACTGATCCAAGGAGTATTAAAGTACTCCTATACTCCCTTGCTGCTTCTATAATTATATATCTAACAGGAGTACTGATCCATGGAGTATTAAAGTACTCCTGTACTCCCTTGCTGCTTCTATAATTATATATTAAACAGGAGTACTGATCCATGGAGTATTAAAGTTCTCCTGTACTCCCTTGCTGCTTCTATAATTATATATTAAACAGGAGTACTGATCCAAGGAGTATTAAAGTACTCCTATACTCCCTTGCTGCTCTCTATCTAGAGAAATGGAATGAAGGGAACTCTGACCCATTAACCCTTAAAAGGTAAAAATATATAATTTTTGATAAATCTTAAATTGATCCCCTTAAATTGAATTAAAAAAGAATTAGCGTTTTTAAAACGTTATTCAGCAAAAATTATACTTTATTTGTTGAATATGTGAACGAAAAAGTGCGATTTAGTGGTTTAACAAAATAGAAATTTCTTATTCTGAACTGCGTAGAGTCTAGGCTAGATCTCAACCGCTCGTTCAACCGCTCCCGCTGAGTTTTTTTCTCTAAAGTATATATCATTCGTTTCTGATATATTTTGTTGATCAAGATTCTTTAAAGTTTATTTTTAAGGACATCAAATCAATTCAAATTGAACTCTTTCTAAAATTGAATAATTGTCTTGTAATTCTAGAGTTAAACTTTTACTCTTAAACCTATTGCTAACGTATCGAATAGGGTTTCAAAATTTTATAGAAATATCTTTCGCGAAATTACAATCTTTAGAAAAAATCTCATTTTTGAAAATTTTGATCAATTAAAAATATTGCGCATACGTTGAAAAAAATCGCAAAATTTTAAAACTATTCACAATGAACAATGTTTATTGCAGCAAATAAATTATGTTCTTTCAAACAGTTTTTTCTGTAAGAGGCTGTAAGCGTAATTTCAAGTGACCGAAGGCTCGATTCACAACGGTACCCTAAAAACAAGTTTTTTTCTTCTTTAAAACTGATCATTTTTATTTGTAGATTCTCTACACAAATTACTTCCACAGTATTGATCAGAAAAAGGTTTTAAGAAAACCAGTGTGAATCGGGCATGGTCATCTTTGTATTGAGGGCAAATTGCATTTACACAAAGTTTTTTCTTGAAAACTAAATAATAATCTACTATTTCAGTTTGGCCCACTACGCTGGAAACCTGAATGAAACAAAACTGTTGGTTAAACTACTCTGTTCTTCAAAATATTGCGAGGAAATGAGTTCAGCTGGCCTCATTTCTCATTTCCTAGATCTACTTCTAGGTAACCTTATCCTATATATACTAGATCCTAGATATTCTAGATATGCTTCAACGTAAGCATATCCTAAATATGCTTCAACGTAAAAATATCTTAGATAAACTACCATGTAAACATATCCTAGATATACTTCTAGGTAATCATTTCCTAGATATACTTTTCGGAAAACATATCCTAGATATACTTCTAGGTAATCATATATTAGATATGCTTTTAGGGAAACATATCCTAGATATACTATTAGGTAAACATATCATAGATATACTTTTAGGTAAGCATATCCTAGATATACTTCTAGGTAAACATATCCTAGATATACAACTAGGTAAACATATCCTAGACAAACTATTAGGTAAACATATACTAGATATACTTCTAGGTAATCATATACTAGATATACTTTTAGGGAAACATATCCTAGATACACTTCTAGATAATCATTTCCTAGATATACTTCTAGGTAAACATATTCTAGATATACTACTAGGTAAGCATATCCTAGATACACTTCTAGGTAAACATATCCTAGATATACTTCTAGGTAATCATTTTCTAGATATACTTCTAGGTAAGGTTTCCTGGATCTAAGGAAAGAATAAATGGATCGTAATCGTCCACGATTTACAAAAGTACTCTTTAAAGAATATTCTGATCAAGTAAATATATAGATTTTGTTTATTTAACCCTATAAAGGCTGAGGGTCTGAAACTATGTATAGCCTGGGGGGCTTAACACGCCCTTGCCTAGAGACGCACCTATAAAAAGGTCTTATAGAATAGGTAAAAGGTCGAAATTCAACTTCATTTTTCAAGCCAGCTCATTGAACAAAAAATTAGACCGATAGCTTTAATAGTTTGGGTTAAAAAAAATGCCAAAAAATGGACAAATAAATGAAAAAAAAATTATTTTTATAAAAACAAATATCAAAGTAACACACATGTTTCTACATCTATTTTTCAAGGGCTTTTTAAAAATATTGTTTATAAATCTGTGGCTTGGTCACCAACAAGTTATGGGCTAGTTTAGTTTTTTTTTTTACACGGACCGGATGTTTTACCGCATTGTTCCCTATCCTTTGAATTAAAAAAAACAAAATTTTGTTTACAAAAAAATCCTTTAAATTTCTATGACTTTCAGTCACAAAATTTCACAGTGATATTGTCAAAAATGAAAGTTCTCGGACAAAAAACTAGAGAGGGGGGGGAGGGAATTACACGGCCCGAACAGCCTGTTTAGGGTTAAGCTCTCAGAAAAGTTATGCCATCTTCTATATAAATATTATAAAGGTTTCAAGGGTACCGTTGTGAATCGGGCAAAGCTGTTTTGCATGAGGAGACACTTAAAATGAGGCTTACAATCCCTTTAAACATAACTTATATCTACCTCTAGGAAGGCATCAATTAAGCCTTATTATGAGATGAATGACTCCATATGCAGATGAATATACCCAGTAACTTGTTTTCTTGTAATGTAGGCAGTGAAATAAAACTGAAGCAATTAAAGCTGAAGTTCTGCACTGACCCTCTGGTGGAAGCCTGGGCACGGTAATTTTCAACCTAAACCAAAACCTAAACCAAAACCTTAAAGCTAAACCTAAACCTAAACCAAAACCTAAACCTAAACCTAAACCAAAACCTAAACCTAAACCTAAACCTAAACCTAAACCTAAACCAAAACCTAAACCTAAACCAAAACCTTAAACCTAAACCTAAACCTAAACCTAAACCTAAACCAAAACCTAAACCTAAACCAAAACCTAAACCTAAACCAAAAACAAAACCTTAAAGCTAAACCTAAACCTAAACCAAAACCGAAACCTAAACCTAAACCAAAACCTAAACCTAAGCCTAAAACAAAACCTTAAACCTAAACCTAAACCTAAACCTAAACCTAAACCTAAACCTAAAATTAAACCAAAACCTTAAACCTAAACCTAAACCTAAACCTAACCCAAACAGAACCTAACCCTAAACTAAACCTGAACTAAGCCCATGAATCCTAAACTATGTTTTTGTACTGTACTTTAAAGTGAATATGAATAAAAGTATTTTATATTTCTTAGATTACTTTTCTTAAGGAACTCCAATCTAATTAAATCGGTGACCCTTCTTTTAGATTCTGACCAACCATGAACCTTCCCTGGGTTCATGTCAGGTCCTAACAAAGTTTCGAGTCTGATCAGTAAAAAATATACAAGTTTGCATGCAGTGAAACCCTTAATAACGAATACATCGAAAGCATTCATAAAATGTCGTATTCTTCACTTTCTGATAATGGAATGTTCCAGATATTTAGTTTTTTAATTAAATTATTACATTGAACTCTATAAACCTGTTCCCGCATATTCATGGCTATTTATTTATTTTCGCAAATACTGAAATTTACGTAATACACAGGGTGTCCCACGAAACATGACAGTATGCAAGACGACTTGAATGTCGTCTTGATTTTTGATGCAATTTGCTGCGCTTATTTGTCAACCTAATTTTAGAAGTAAATTTCTAGAGATAATAATCACAAAATTCCCCTAGTCCTGCCATTTCCAAAATGTGGTCTGCCTTTTTTGTGCTTTCAATATTGCCCGACATATAAAGAATTTCGTTCAGATTTCGACAATTTTGCTTTTATTTAACAAAATTGAAATCTGAACCAAACTCTTTATATCTCCGGTAATATTGAAAGCACAAAAAACGCAGACCACTTTTTGGAAATGCCAGGGCTAGGAGAATTATGTGAGAATTGTTTCAAGAATCATACATGTTAAAGTAGATAGAAGACTAAATGTCACAAATAAATTCAAATATCAAAGACGACTTTCAAGTCGTCTTGCTATTGTCATGTTTCGTGGGACACCCTGTAGTATAAAACTCATTGAAAAATTGTCAAGACGACATTCGATAAATTCATCCGATGTATTCGTTATTAAGAGTTTCACTGTAGCACCCTGTTTGTTAGGTTTGTACAAGGGCATCAAGAAGCACTGGAAGAAGAACCCCGTCTGGTCAATCAGCTGCTGATTAATCAGCCGAAAAATAGCGTCATCTTTAAAGCATTTATCAGCTCAAATCAGTCCTTCAACAAAAATAGCAAGGTAAGAAATGACAGCATTTTTATGAATATGATTCTTAAATCTAAGTTTTTATTCCCCATTTTTAATACTGTATCATGTCTCCGATATCCCTTACATTTTGTATCCTATATCCAAGAATAAAAATTCTGTATTGTTCATGTGTTCTGTATCCTGGATATTATATCCTGTATCCTATATTCTAAATTCTAAACCCTGAATATCTTTTCTTATATTCTGAAACCTCTAACTCTGATATTGAATAATAAATCATTTTTATGTGCACACTGCATACTATACACTTTACTTTTATTAAATCCTTCTTTGATATCTATCAGAGTTTATACCCTGCATTGATAACTTTAGGAAGCAAGCATTGATCTTCAAATTCAAAAGTGCGAATATATCGAGAACAAGCGTTAAAGATAAACGATATTCCATACAAAGGTTCCAACTTAAATAGATACAACCGGGGTTTTTATTTGTTTTGTGACTCTCGGCATCAAGCATTGATTTCCAGACCTACAGATTAATTTAATCTTACTTCGATATCTATCTGTGTTCATACCCTGCAAGGATAAATTTACTTAAGGGATTAAGCATTGATCCTCAAACTTTTAAAAGATCCCACATTGGATATCGAGATCAAGCCTTTTATATTAACGATACTCCAATTGCTCACAAATATGTCGACCTCAGAAGTCAGAACTTTTGTATTGTTAATCTCGAGATCAACCATTGATCTTTATCTACGGATTAATTTTATTCTTCTTCTATATCTCGTGGTGGTCATACCGTACATGTAGGCATAACTTGAATCAAAGGATCAAGCATTTACCCTTTAACTTTAAAAGTACCCACATTGAATACTAGGGCTAGTATAAAAGTACCCACATTAAATATCTAGAGCTAGTGTAAAAGTACCCACATTGAATATCTAGAGCAGGTGTAACAGTACCCACAGTGAATACTAGAGCAAGTGTAACAGTACCCACATTAAATATCTAGAGCTAGTGTAACAGTATTCACATTGAATACTAGAGCAAGTATAAAAGTACCCACATTGAATATCTAGAGCTAGTGTAACAGTACCCACATTAAATATCTATAGCTATTGTACCAGTACCCACATTGAAAATCTAGAGCTAGTGTAATAGTACCCACATTGAATATCTAGAGCTAGTGTAACAGTACCCACATTAAATATCTAGAGCTATTGTAACAGTACCCACATTGAATATCTAGAGCAGGTGTAAAAGTACCCACATTGAATATCTAGAGCAGGTGTAACAGTACCCACATTGAATATCTAGAGCAGGTGTAACAGTACCCACATTGAATATCTAGAGCTAGTGTAAAAGTACCCACATTGAATATCTAGAGCAAGTGTAACATTACCCACATTGAATATCTAGAGGTGGTGTAACAGTACCCACATTGAATATCTAGAGCAGGTGTAAAAGTACCCACATTGAATATCTAGAGCAGGTGTAAAAGTACCCACATTGAATATCTAGAGCAGATGTAACAGTACCCACATTGAATATCTAGAGCAAGTGTAACAGTACCCACATTGAATATCTAGAGCAGGTGTAAAAGTACCCACATTGAATATCTAGAGCAGGTGTAACAGTACCCACATTGAATATCTAGAGCAAGTGAAACAGTACAAACATTGAATATCTAGAGCAGGTGTAACAGTGTCCACATTGAATATCTAGAGCAGGTGTAACAGTACCCACATTGAATAGCTAGAGGTGGTGTAAAAGTACCCACATTGAATATCTAGAGGTGGTGTAACAGTACCCACATTGAATATCTAGAGCAGGTTTAACAGTACCCACATTGAATATCTAGAGCAGGTGTAAAAGTACCCACATTGAATATCTAGAGGTGGTGTAACAGTACCCACATTGAATATCTAGAGCAAGTGTAAAAGTACCCACATTGATTATCTAGAGCAGGTGTAAAAGTACCCACATTGATTATCTAGAGCAGGTGTAACAGTACCCACATTGAATATCTAGAGCAGGTGTAAAAATACCCACATTGAATATCTAGAGCAAGTATAAAAGTACCCACATTGAATATCTAGAGCAAGTATAACGGTATCCACATTGAATATCTAGAGCAGGTGTAAAAGTACCCACATTGAATATCTAGAGCAGGTGTAAAAGTACCCACATTGAATATCTAGAGCAGGTGTAAAGTACCCACATTGAATATCTAGAGCAAGTTTAAAAGTACCCACATTGAATATCTAGAGTAGGTGTAACAGTACCCACATTGAATATCTAGAGCAGGTGTAAAAGTACCCACATTGAGTATCTAGAGCAAGTATAACAGTACCCACATTGAATATCTAGAGCAAGTGTTCAAGAATCAAGATTAACAACTGCAGCTCGCAAGGTTAAATCTAGTCTTCTATGACACTGAAATTTGTAAATAAGCAATAATGTTCGGATCTTTTCCGTGGATTGTTTGTTAATCTTGAACGCTTGACCTTGATATACAATGAGGATATATTACGAGGATCAATGATTGATTCCTCACATAAAGTGATCCCCACAGAGTATGACCACCGCGGGACATCGTACATGAATACAAAGAATCTTGATATTTACAAAAGCTGGCGATCAATGCTTGATTAAAAAAGTGTTGACTTCTGTCTTGCACATATATATGGTTTTAGAAGGATATATTACGAGGATCAATGATTGATTCCTCACATAAAGTGATCCCCACAGAGTTTGACCACCGCGGGACATCGTACATGAATACAAAGAATCTTGAAATTTACAAAAGCTGGCGATCAATGCTTGATTAAAAAAGTGTTGACTTCTGTCTTGCACATATATATGGTTTTAGAAGGAAATAAATCGGTGTAGTTTATTATGGGTCCCCTATGTGAATATTCCTCTTTTAAGCAGTTTATTATGGGTCCCTTATGTGAATATTCCTCTTTTAAGCAGTTTATTATGGGTCCCCTATGTGAATATTCTTCTTTTAAGCAGTTTTTTATGGGTCCCCTATGTGAATATTCCTCTTTTAAGCAGTTTTTATGGGTCCCCTATGTGAATATTCCTCTTTTTAGCAGTTTTTTATGGGTCCCCTATGTGAATATTCCTCTTCTAAGAAGTTCTTTATGGGTCCCCTATGTGAATATTCCTCTTTTATGCAGTTTTTAAGACTCCCCTATGTGAATATTCCTCTTTTAAGAAGTTTTCTCTACTAGATTCCATATTCAGGAGAAGGAGCTAGTTATTTATTCTTTTTATTTCTTTTTCTTTTTTCCATCAAAACTTTATTTACTTTTCCCAGAGTTATTTCAACTATTCTAATACTAACATCACATAAACTTGAAAACTACAAGAATTAGTTGAAAGAAATTTTAAAATCATTCAGAAATAGTTTTAAACAATGTGTAAAATCATTTAGAAAAAGTTAAAAAGAATGTTTAAATCATCTTGGTGTTGTTTTTAACAAAGTTTAAAGGGAGTGACTTACTAGACAGTGTAGTTAAGCTCAAAGTGAAGTATTGAAGTAAAAACTTCAGATTTTTATTGAAACCAATAAGACATTCTTACAGTGTACAATTTATAAATAAGAGCGTAAAGTGGTTTTTAATATTTCTTCAGTTGTTTTAGTCAGCAGAAGAAACATTATTGTTTACAATTAACATGAGTAAACAATGAAAAGTTGGTAAGGTGACAGCTTCTCTTTATTTGTATCCATAATGTTTGATAGCTTGGTAGAAATATCAATATTTTACTATTGTCGCGTATAAATCATTTCAATGAAGACGACTTTTGATTTACATTTTAATATTAATTCTAGTTGTTGGAGTGGGTAAACCGTAGTGTAGAGGAGAGAGAAGATCGTCTTGTATCCAGAAAACAAGAGAAGAGTCCTACAGTTATACTTCTCCGGGATACCATTCTCTTCCTGGGATATTCAGATGGAATAATATCCGTCCTGGATAGTCAAACATTCAGGTTGGATATACGCTTTATATATGTATATGACATGGTTTCAGTGTTGCAGTGGGAATAGGGACTCAGAAGTTTGATTTCTTTAAAGGTTGAATAGGAACTTAGACTTTTGATCTAACAGAGTTCTTTTTATGAAATATTCCAAAAATTAAAAGGTGTGAGAATAGGTTACATAATCCTCCTAGCGTTAAGAAATCAATGCTTTACAACTCTTTTAAACAAATACTTTAGAAGGAATGTTCACATTCATAAATATATTAATTATATACGTTCTACACATTTGTGGTGAATGGTGGTACGTTTTTAATGATAAATAAGAAGTTGTAATATACATTTATATGCAAGATTTTACATATACAGGGTGTCCCACGAATCATGACAGTTGGTATAAATAGTTTAGAATGTCTTCTTCCATTAATTTTTTTAATACGAAAGACAATAATAAAAATATTAATTAGGAGTCATATTATAGTAAAATATACTAGAGCAAAAGATTTTTTAAACGAAATAAACTGCAAACAGCCTTTGGTATCTAATACAGTGCACGGAAGACGACATTCAAAACTATTTATCAACTGTCGATCATGTTTCGTGGGACACCCTGTATATCACAGCTTTTCATCACTGCGAACATGTAATAAATTTCGGGTCACATGATATTCTGTAAACTTGCAGTACATTGTACAATATTAATTATCTATGTTTGTAAACTTATACGTGAGAAAACTAATATTCATTTGAACTACGTTTGAAGATATTATCAATTTTTATCAAAACGCCAAATTATGACCAACAATTAAAAACAATAAGCAAATTAATGGTTTTATCTATCTATCTATCTATCTATCTATCTATCTATCTATCTATCTATCTATCTATCTATCTATCTATCTATCTATTTATCTATCTATCTATCTATCTATCTATCTATCTATCTATCTATAATTTTTGTATAGATTGAATAATGTTGAGGCACACAGTGGTCGAATAACAGGGTTATGTGCTCTGAACTTGAATATTCTAACTTCAGGATGGGATTCTAATATCAATATCTGGAGTAAAGGTATATATTATAGGTTTAGAACACAAGTGGATTTTACTTGCGCACAATTGCGAGCCCGGTAAACTCCGCGCAATTCAATAACAGTTGATGCGCGCAACTGTGCACATTTGCGCGCAATTCCGCGCAACGGAATTCCGATTGGAAATAACACAGGAACAAACTATTGAATTTTTAAAAAGGATGAAAAAGTAGACAAGAGGAAAAAGCGAAAAAAAAGAAAGTCAATGCTAGAAAATAAAAAAGTAACGATAAGAAAAAATTGTGACTTGATTCGAAGTTTTTACTTTTGTACTCATCATCATTAGCCATCAAATGAAAAAGTTTGGAATCTTTAAACTTCTCTAAAATTGTTGGATAGACTGTGCACTCTTTGGTTAGCATTTTCATTGTACATACAATGAACAAGGAACACACAAAATCTGAGAATTTTTATATTTACAATTTTTTTTTGGCTTATCTATGCTAATAATGATAAATTAATAAAAACATACCAACTTATTTCTTCAGGGTTGGTTCGTTTAAGTCAGATCTTCTTAAACTATGTTCCCATCAACTGTATTTGCCTTCATCCCTTCAAGAATAGTGTAGTTGTTGGCAGTTGGGACAAGTCTATTCGGATATTTGATATCGACTCAAAGGAACAAAAAGCCAAGGTGAACATTCATTTCTCGTTAAAGGAGGTTTATTTTTATTATTCCTTTATTCAAATTTGAATGACTTCTATGAACGGTAAAAAAATTAATTATTTAAATTTACATGAATTGGGTTGTTCAAAGAAAAATGATTTGATTTGCCAAGTATTGTCTAGATTCTTTAATTTTGCTGATTTTATGTTTGTGATGATAAAAATTTTCATAATACTGAATTTTAAAAATGAATATTTGTTTAGTTGACGGGTGCATCTAGCATACAGAAGATTGCTCTTTCAGAAGATGCAACTAAGATAGCTGCAGGTATTAATTATTTACAACTACTTTGCAGGATGTTCAGGGAATTTTACTTTACCAAGGTTTTCCAAGACCATTTTGGTAGAGAAACCCCCCTGTATGTATAAAATGCTTTTTTTCGACTGCGAAATGTCAGTGCACATTCAGAAGGTGGGTGGTGGGGTTAGTAAAGGTCGGAGAGTGTTATGAATGAAAGAAACAAGCATAAAGAATTGATTTAAAGAGAATCAATACCCATATTGTATACCACGCATTATTTGCATACAGCCCATGAAAAGAAATTTTTCGTTTTTCTTTAGTACGCATCAGGTTATTTAAAATTTTGCAAAAATATTTGCATATTTGAATGGCATGGTCAAGTGCTTTCAAGAAATGTATATTTTTTCATTTTTTGGAAACTTTATTTGCAAAACTTTACATAACTGGATTTTGCAAAAAAAAACTTAAATTTTGGAAATTGCAATTTTTTGCAGATTCTAAAAGTAGAGAATAAGAACTTTCCAATGGTGTATCATTTGTCATATTTGGACATAAAACATGACATTTAGCATACCTATAGGCTAAACCGCCACTACACCAATGTACTCAGTAATTTGTCCACAGGTCTTACATTTTTGTTTTCTTTCTAGGAAGGCTCAGTCATGGAAACCATTAATTTCACTAATCCAGGGAGGGAGGCTAAGCTCCATAGCCCCCTCCCCTTCTGAGTACATGACTCTGCTCCTAACAAGGCATGTTTGATTGTTTAGGTACCCTGTGTGGCAAGGTTGAGCTATGGGATGGTAGGAAGGGTGTTAAGATTTCATCTCTCAATACAGGTTCTTCTATCACAGCTTTAGAATTCTCATCTCAAGCTAGACTTCTTATTGGGGATTCTACTGGAAAAATAACAGGTTTGTATTAATGATAAACATCTATACATAATATATATACTTTGCTGTTTGTATCCAATGAACGTCAAAACGACTGAACGTATCCGGCACAAATTTTGTGGGAAGATTAATAGATGATAAAATTAATTTTCATAAAATTGCCTCCAACAAAACTCGACTTTCATTAAATCTAAAAATCCACGAAATTTCTTTATAAAATCCGCGAACTGTTTTTGGTTTTGTTTTACAATATGTACAAAGAGAAAAAGGTCACAATTGAAATAGAAGATGAAAGCAAAGCACCCTATAAAAGCCTAGTAATGTAAAACTTAGTTAGCAATTTGGAGCTGGAGTGGAGGCCACCGGAGGAAAATTGTTTCCATTGGAGGGAATGTTTTTTATTTAATGCTAATTACTCCATAGGAGGGATAGTAATTAACACTCAGGACAATAATAACTCCACCAGAGTGTCAATTAGTGTCCTTAGTGTTAATTAGCATCCCTCCGATTGAGTTGTTAGTGTCCTGAGTGTAAATTACCATCCCTCCAATGGAATAATTAGTGTCCTCAGGGAGTGGGTAAAAACGCCCAAAAACAAAGTGCCCAATAACAAAACTGCCAAAAACAAAACGCCCAATGCAATACAACGCCCAATGCAACAAACGCCTAATTACAAAACGCTCAAAGTTACAAATAGCCCAATATGCAGCAAAAGGGCCAAAATCAAAAAACACCAAAATTCCGAAAAACGATAAAAATTCTAAAAAATTCAAAAAAAAATTCTAAAATTTGGGAGTTAAAATGTGTGTGTATTAATTCACAGTTAGGGTTGGTTAAGACAGTTTCATTGTTGTAATATTTTTCTTAAAAGTTTGTCATGTCAATATAGTTTTCAACAATTGCTGTAGAAAAGAAAAAATATTTTTAGAATTTCCAAATCGAAGTGAATATATTTATTTTCATAACTCTTAAAGATGTAACTTGAACACTGAAGGCGCTACAACGGCGCCAGATCTTGAAATGTATTTGAACTTCTAGCCGCAGAGCGAGACTCCATGGAAAACTGACTTTGAGGAACTTCAACAGAAAAGTTGCGAGTTTCTTGAAATAAAATCCAAAATTACTGTCTCTTTTTCATCTTAAATGAGGACTTTTTGTATTATTTGACCTTTTTGTAATTGGGCGGTTTGTAACATTGGGCGTTTTGTAGTTGGGAGTTTTGTAATTTGGCGTTTTGTAATTGGGCGTTTTGTTGCATTGGGCGTTTTGTTACATAGGGTATTTTGTTGCATTGTGTGTTTTGTAATTGGGCGTTTTGTTATTGGACGTTTTGTACCCACTCCGTTTTGAGTGTTAATTATAATCCCTCCGATGAAGTAATTAGTGTCCTGAATGTAAATTACCATCCATCAAAAATTAAGTAATTAGCATTGAATAAAAAAACATTCCCTCCAGTGGAAAAAATTTCCCTCCGGTGGCCTCCACTCCAGCTGAGGGGACCCAATATGCTGCTGCAAACTTCAATTTCTCTTAAAAGTGGACTAATTTGACAACAATCTGTTATAACTAAACAAATAATATCATTCTGTTATTCTTCTATCGCAAATAAAAAAAAAACAATATTCTTTGATACGAATTTTTTTAAGACTGCTCTATTATTTAATCTTTGTTTTGTAATATAAATTTAGATCAAACTAAAAATTAATGATGTTTTAAAAATGTTTAAAAATTTCTAGGAGTGAATTACAATGAGGGATCCCGTGTAACAGCCCCTGAGTATCCGTTTCAACTACCAATGTATTCAAGCTTCTCAGAACAGTATAACACTCAGAACATTCAGGAGCAAACATCACTCAAGAGAAACATTTCTGCACTAACAGTTGCAGCTCATGAAACATTTATTCTTGGGTTTGACAACGGAGACGTAATGTTCTATCAACAAGAAGAGAGTTCAGAATGTTATAAAGGGTTTGGTTGGCATTTTGCTGATGAACCAATTGCAGAGATTGGTCACAGGTTGGACTTTGCGCTAGAGATCTCGGATTGGTCACTTCTAGATGATCAGGAACTTGGAGCTTTTTTTGTACGATCCAGGAGTTCAGTTTCAGTCCACAGCCTACGCTCTAGGGTGTGCTTATACCTGGAGGGTATTGAATCTGAGATAGTTGGAGTACTACTCACAGAGATCAAGTTTGATCCACATATTCTGGTTATTCTTGAGTCTGAGATTCTAGTTTATCCTGCAGTGCAGTTTGGTCTATCCAACCGGAATATGTTTAATAATGTTTTACCACTAAATTTATGCTTCAGCTGGTAAACCTATTGTAGGATGAGTAGCAGTATCAGCAGGGTTGAAGTGCTCAGTGAGAATAATCTTCTAGTAGTAAGCAGGGTTGGAGAGGTCTGGAGTCTGCAAATAGACAAGACTGGATTAGTACCTAACGGAACAGATATTTGTGTACCCTCATATGATCCTGAGGTGGTGGGACTTATCTACAATAAAGCAAGGTGGGAGGTCGGTTAGGCATTTCTAAATAAAGGGTTACCCACAAAGGTTGAGACTTTAAAGACGACATAAAACTCTAAGCTTGAAGCTTTATTTTTGGTTTCTGCATTCAATTGAGTATTTTGATGGTTTACTGAATGATGAGGCACAGACGTAAACCAGTTTTGACCTATAAGGAAGCCTGAATGCAAGAAAACGGACTAAACAAATTCCGTTCAATCGTCTTTACACTCTCATCCTTTGTGGGTAACCCTGTATGATGAATTAAGACCTCAGGTCAGAACTTTTGGTTTGAGAAAACTCAACTTGATAACTTTGCTGAAATCTCTCCTTTCAAAATTTAATAATCGGCGAAAAAAACATTTGCGCATTCTCATTGGTCGAACCTGTAGATTTTTATGTGGCTCATAGAGATTGATGCTTATGTGATTGTTAAAACCATACACAATCAGACTTTTAATAGTTTATCTCTAGTATTTCATGCATAAATAATTCAATTAAATAATACCTCAAACCAAAAGATACATCACGAACTGTTGTAACAGCAATGTATCTTTGTTAAAGTTTTTAACAAGGCCTGCATTTTCTACATAATCTTAATTTTTCACATGCACTTTTGGTAGGAAAATCACAAAACTAAGAAATACCCGACTTTTTGTGGTTTTCAGGGCTGAGGCAGGTTTAAAGGATACGGCTTTCCTCTTCTGTTCCCATGGAACTGTTATCAGGATAGGGATACAACCATGGCTCAGTAACATTAACGAGTTCACAATTAACACATCAGGGATACTTCAAGTTCATTCGGACACAGTGAGGTAGGTTCATGTGGAAGTGTCGTAAATCGTTTTGATTCATTTTTTTAAAAACTTTTGATAAAACTTCCAAAATTTCAAAACTATGTTCTGATAAAGTTTTCCTTTTATCCTAAAAACACAAAATTTCTAGAAACCTTTTAAAAAAAGATTGTTACAACACGTTCGTTATTAAATAGTTTTTGATTCGTTTTTTGCATATATTTTCTGTCTGGATCAAAATTTGTGTGTAAAAGTAATCCAAATGTTTCGAATATATCATTTAAAAAAAGAAATTTTCCTCTTAAAATATGTCAACTTTTTACCCTGAAAAAAAATTTAATGGGATCCATACATCTGAATTGAATATAGGAAGACGACATTCAAGTAGTTTTGTGTAAATTTGATGTTTAAAAAATAGTTTTTCCAGTAGTTTGAAAGTCCACTTATCAGTTTAAATGGGCATTGGTACTGTAAATTTGCACTGTACATGTGCACTGTACATGTGCACTGTACATGTGCACTGTACATGTGCACTGTACATGTGCACTTTACATGTGTACTGTAAATGTATATCTTAAATTTTATCACTATATAATATTTTCCGAAGCCCATGAAATTCTAGAAATTAGTCAGAATAAATTAATATATTTCACATTTCAGTGAGAATATCCTGGTCCTGCACGCATGTGGAACAGTGTCCCTATTGTCCCCTAAAGGGATAGAGATTGGGTTGTATAGTGGTCGGTATTCGGGGGCCTGGATATATACCAACAAGTTATATATTGGGTCGGATACTCTCCAGTGCTTTGATCCAACCAAACCAAATATTACAATTGAGATCACAGGTATATTTTGATATTGAAAACTTATACAGGGAGGCCCATAAATCTGTGGTATATAGAAAGACTAAATTTGAGCAATTTTGTGTATTTAATGATATTATAAAGCAACAAGTTTTACCAGCTGCTTGAATATCAACTTATTTTGTAAAATTTGGGTGTGCTTTACAATTGCTTGTCCCATTCGCAATGGACTAATCAAAATCGTAACTTGAATCCCTCCAGTGGAATTATAAACCCCTGGATAGATATCTGAACCCTCCAGTGGAATTATAAACCCCCTGGATAGATATCTGAACCCTCCAGTGGAATTATAAACCCCCTGGAAAGGATGTCTGAATCCCTCCAGTGGAATTATAAACCCCCTAGAAAGATATTTGAACCCTCCAGTAGATTGTTAATCACCCTGCCTAAAGTTTCAAATTTTAAAAAGTGACTTCTTAAACACCTCCAGCGAAAATAAAATCCCTCCGGTGGTCTCCAGTAGAATCGAAGTCTTACTACGAACTTCTTTGAGTCTTAGTTATATTCCACAATTATATGGGACTCACTGAACAGTGTACAATACTATTTTAAATGTTATTGTATACAACAGCGAGATTTGTCTTGGCTAAAGATGAAAATATTATTTTGAAAAATGTTTAGGACACAAGGGTAAGATCAGTTCACTACTGAACACAGGAGGCGAGGAACTCGTGTTTGTTTCTAGTTCAGAGGATGGTTCTGTCAAGCAATGGACACCAAACACAAGGTAGATTAGCTCTGCACTGCAGCTGTTTTAAATATACTTACTCATCGTAGCACCAGTCAGATGAGAGTGTAGCAACCTTATACCACCCTACCTTACCAAATACCATCTCTAACCTTCTTTTAAAAAATATTTTATTAAGGATCACAGGAGAGCTTCAATAAGTTTTGCAAACAAATGTTACTTCTAGACGTCTCAGCACTTAAAATTTTTTTAAGTTCATTATATTTCTACCGGTTCAATTTTCTGTCGATCAGATAATATGTTGGATACCTTTCTCCCGAAGCCCGTAAACGATGCTTGTCACAGCCTATATATGTTATCTATCGACGCAAACTTTATCCATTAATGTATGTTCTAGAGGTTCGGAAACCTTAAAAGTCAAAGGAGGGAAAGCCTTTATTGCAAAAGGGTCCTTGAAGATTTTTATAGTTGTAATCTATATTTCAGCAAACCAATTAATATCTTTTCCTACGACCTCTTTTGGAGCAAATGTGGTTCAAAGCATTTCCATTTTTTACATCTTGGTTTACAACTATGTTTGCTGCACCAAGGCAGATGCCAAACTCATGAAAAATCATCAACTAAGAAGGCTTGCGAATTTGGTTAAAGAAACTTTCAATTCTGTCAACTCTTTGAGGAGTTTTGGGGGATTTTTTCTGCTCAGACATTTACGCTTTCTGCCGGGAAAAGGTTGGATTTTATAGAAATAAAAAGTTTGATGAATAAAGTCTGTTGGAAAACGACAACAGTAAGCTCTAAAAAATTACAGAGCTGTTACGCCTAGAAGTATCTCTAGCATTTTTTTTGCAAAACTTATTGAACATACCTTATAGTTAATCTACCATGTTTTGTTAATAACTGTTATGATTTAATAGGACTGCAGAAAAATATATGATTTGATTTGATTTATTTTAGGAGTTTTGATAAGGTTGGATCAGGAGGGAGTATCCTATCCTTGGATATATTCCAGGAGGGGGTTGCAGGAGTTTACCTTCTTATTCTTACTCAAGCACAGCTCCTGGTTCAGGAGGTTCAGGGAGAAAATCTCCTTCAGGTGTATCGACATCAACTACCGCAGGAGTTCTCTTATGTTAGGTAGGATTTAGGAAGGGTAAAAGAAGTAAATGAAATGTAAAACTTCTTCTCGATGTATGCTGTATAGGGTTAACCACAGAGAATGAGATTGTGAATACCACGTGAAAGTATTAAAATATAATTAATCCAAGGGTAAATCAAGTCTGCTGCCTTCAATACAGTCTTTTTATGGCTTTTTATTGACAATAAAAGATATAAGGATATAGTGACAAAGAAGGGAATCTTAAAAATAAGGAAACAGACGGTAAAAATAGTCTCTGAAGTCTCATCCTTTGTGGTTAACCCATAATACACAATCAACAACCACGCGGAACTTAAGACAGGGTCTCTATTATTTAACCAATAATCGGAAACCGAGCTTTATGAATGGGATAGTTTCTTAATTCTTAGATATTTGAGTAAAACAATGTTATCATGTTAGTCATTTTTTCTATTTCTTTAATTCAAATTATATAGACACTAAAAAATATAAGCGTATTTATGTGACGCCAAATGCAAAGATGGCCGGACCTGATTTACAACTGTACCATGATATCTTAATCTGATTAAAGATGACCGGACCTGATTTACAACTGTACCATGATATCTTTATCTGATTGACCATGTGCAAATTAACGTCATTTTTCAGACTCGATAAATGTAAATTCTGATAATTTCTTCATTGTTTCTGAGATACCTTAAATGAAAATAAGCATACAGTCCCTTGAAGTTTCCTATAAAGAGCAGGAAATTTAGGCAGTTTTGTGTACTGTTCTATAAGTCACTAACCTGTATATGTACATTCCCATTCTTTTTATACCTTGATATACAATGTACATCCATCTTTTATTTCTTTCTTTTTCGATAAAATATAAGATAAATAAAATTGAGTTTTAATAATCTAATAATTTAAATATTTGAATTGTTCAGTTTGAAGTGTGTGAGTGTTGCGAAGGGGACTCTCCTGATTGTTATTGCAAAAACCCATATCCTCATTTTTGCAATTAGGTTTTTATTTTTTCAATTTTAAATTCATTCACATGTTTGCAAAAAATACTGCATATTGTTTTTAGTTTTTGCAAAAGAAACTGAAATTTTTACACATTTGTTTGTGAATAGATTAAAATTTCTGCAATTTTTGCAATCAGGTTTACAATTTTACAGTTTTGCAAAATAATTTACATTTTTATCGTTTTTACAAGTATGTAGGTTTACATTTTCACCCGTTTTTACAAGTCAGTAGGTTTACATTTTTATCGTTTTTACAAGTAAGTAGGTTTACAATTTCACCGTTTTTACAAATAAGTAGGTTTACAATTTCACCGTTTTTACAACTAAGTAGGTTTACAATTTCAGTGTTTTACAAGTAAATAGGTTTACATTTTCACCGTTTTTACAAGTTAGTAGGTTTACATTTTCACCGTTTTTACAATTTAGTAGGTTTACAATTTCACTGTATTACAAGTAAGTAGGTTTAAATTTTCACCGTTTTTACAAGTAAGTAGGTTAAAATTTTCAACGTTTTTTACAAAATAGTAGGTTTACATTTTCACTGTTTTTACAAGTTAGTAGGTTTACATTTTCACCGTTTTTACGAGTTAGTTTTTATCGTTTTTACAAGTATGTAGGTTTACATTTTCACTGTTTTTACAAGTAAGTAAGTTTACATTTTCACCGTTTTTACAAGTCAGTAGGTTTACATTTTTATCGTTTTTACAAGTAAGTAGGTTTACAATTTCACCGTTTTTACAACTAAGTAGGTTTACAATTTCACCGTTTTTACAAGTAAGTAGGTTTACAATTTCACCGTTTTTACAACTAAGTAGGTTTACAATTTCACTGTTTTACAAGTAAGCAGGTTTACATTTTCACCGTTTTTACAAGTTAGTAGGTTTACATTTTCACCGTTTTTACAATTTAGTAGCTTTACAATTTCACTGTTTTACAAGTAAGTAGGTTTACATTTTCACCGTTTTTACAAGTAAGTAGGTTTAAATTTTCAACGTTTTTTACAAAATAGTAGGTTTACATTTTCACTGTTTTTACAAATAAGTAGGTTTACATTTTCACCGTTTTTACGAGTTAGTACGTTTACATTTTCACCGTTTTTACAAGTTAGTAGGTTTACATTTTCATCTTTTTCGCAAGAAATACCATCCATAGTAAACAGATAAAGGAAAGGAAAGCTTGCCACAAATTCTAATTTTATAATCCCTGTATCTTTGCAACATGATGTCTTTTAACTTTGATATTTAAAACTATCAATTCTTTTATATTAAAAAGTCTTAGTTATGGGTTTCAACCAGCTGGTTGCGAGATATGGGAATAATAAAGTTAGAATTAAGTGTTTAGTTCCTTTCTCGAATTTTTGTTTTTAGATGGTTTATATTTCTTGTTTTCTAGTTCCACTAGACTGAGAAGAATGTTGACCCATCCTTGTGCTGAGGTGAACCTTCACCTGACCTCTGTATCTGTACTTTACAGGGAGAACAAGATACTCTGTGTTTTCAGTTCAATCAGCAAGGTAGATAAATGCAGGGGTTTAAATAATCTAAAGTTTTCTAAGCGAATTTACACTTTTTGAAGCTCTGAAAATTAATATTTTTAAGCTGAAAAGAGTTTGTAGCTAACCCCAGTTTCAAAAAAAAATTCATGTTTTAACATGCAGAGAGGGACTAGGGAGGAAGGAGTGAAAAATAGGAAATTCATTAGATTTTAATCTTTCTGATACTTTTAACACAAAAAGTCATATTTTTCCCACACTTTAGCGATGATATTCCATCTAAGAAAGCACTTACAAAACATTTCCTTGCTTAATGTTTCCTCACAAAATGTTTCCTCGTTTCCTTACAAAACGTTTACTTACTGAATATGTTTCCTTAAAAAACGTTTCTTACATAAAACATTTCCTGTCATAAACGTTTCCTTACAAAACTTTCCTATAATAAATGGTTCCTTCAGATAAGTAAAAACATTTGATGATTGTAGGTTGTAATATATGAATGATTTGATGGAATTTTTGTGGGATTTTTAAAATAAAATCTAGCCGCCTTCAGCCCAAAAATGGTTAAATACTAGAGGGAAAAAATAGAAGTACGTTTAGACTTGCAAAACCTTTTAAACTAATTGAATAAATGTTTAATTTTAAAATTCACAGAAAACTGTATTTTTTAATTACAGGACTCAAGAGTGTGCATCGATTGGAAAGGAGATGAACTTCTTGCATTTGATAACTATCAGGTTATTAACTTGTCAGTTATAAAGCATAACTACCTGCAGGTGATAAACTTATCAGTATTTAACAAAACTATCAGGTGATAAAGTGATCAAACATAATTATCAGGTGATAAACTGATCAAACATAACTATCAGTTGATAAACTAACCAAATAT